AGTCATTTCTGTCTTTTTATAGGGAGCATTGACCAAAAAGAATAAAGTATGCAAGGAGAAAAAAAATTAGCTTGTGAATTCAAAATACCAAATTAATACCAACAGGTCATCAATAGACAAAATTTAACTGAAGATAATCATTGTATATACCATGCACTTCATAACAAAGTTACCAAACATGTACATGGAGCTGTATCAGACATGTCATGAAAACCCTTATTACATTATTACTTTTACTCATTTGTCCACACACACACTTACTTTCCACTAAATGATGACAGATTGTTTTGCATTCTAGACAGTTGTTTCACTAGAAAATGTTTACAGAAAGAAATTTAGGAAAAAAGGCAAAATACTTTCAAATATTAAGAAAATATGTATATAGCCCAAGTAACCCTCCCTTAAAGATATAACAAAACTATGAAATAACAAAAAGCATCCTTTCAGTTTTAACTTGAAGTGACAATAATTACAAATCAAATTAAACTTGGGCAGCGCCTGTCAGCCCCATCATATATGGGGGTGGAGGGGTGGTGGGGTGAGGTGGCAGGTTCAAACCTGGCCCCAGCCAAAAACTGCAAAAAAAAAAAAAAAATCAAATTCAACCTAATTTAACAGCATTTGAAATACTGCTTTTTCTAAGCAAGAGATACCAATGGCTAGAGATACCACAGGTTAATAGTTATGCCAATACTGTAACAGAACATCATTCCTGGACAGAGGTACATACCGAAGTAAGTTCTGAGGAAGCAACCCATATCACATCAACAAGTAGGAGAATAACAATCCCAAGAGTCATTCGCCTGCGCTGAGTGAAACCACTGTTCTGGGAATTCATTCGGTTCATGATAAATACACACACCATTTGCAGTCTGTTTTTTAAGAAAACACAGAGATGCTTTTTAAAATACATATATAAATGAGAAAAGTTAACAGAAACATCATCTGACATTTGTTAGCTATCACTCAGCATGAACATTACACAACAAGTAAAAGGAATTTACCTTGTCTTAAGGGCCTTTCTTAGATCTTCCAGAGCAATCCCTGAAAACTTGACAGATGTCAGTCTAAAAGGAGGTGAAGAACTCAGCACACCTAAAGACAACCCCAAAATGATACTTAAGATTCACCACATCTTTTTTATTCTTCATCTTCAAACTGAAAGAAAAACACCCAAATGTAGTAATATAATCGACACCTCTTTGTTGACTTTCATGCTATCCTCTGTCCACTTCAGATTATACTCAGAGAGGGACATGGTACGGGAGGGAAACAGGCAATATTCAACACATGGCATGTTTAAGAATAGTTAACTACAGGAAAACAGCTTCTGAGTTTCACAAACACAGAACTCCGTTCGCCTCTCCCTCCAGAGGAATCCACCCCAGGTAAAGCGTCTAGACACGCACCTGTTTCTAAAAGTGTCTTTCTGTCCCTGATCTCTTTGAGTGGAATTTGGTTATTGGAGCGAGAGGCAGTGATTTGTTGCGGGTCTTGAAGCACCTTTCCTATCTCACGTGGTAAAAAGGAAAAGAATACTCCACACTCCCCCCACCCAGCTCTGTCACTACATCTAGTTATTGTAGAAGGAAACAGTAATCAATTCACAAGGTGACTGAAGAAACACTGTTAAGAGGAATTCGCCTTAAGTCAGTGACACCTTCCCAGGGAGATAAAGCCGAAACGATAGCGCCAGGACAACTTCCCTGATAGCTAGAGTCCACACAGGGTTCTAAAGCCCCTGACAGCCTCCTGCTCACTCCACTCCTAGACCGTCACCGTTTCGGTCAAGAAACATCAACAGCCACCAAGGACTGGCGGTGCGGCTGTTCGCGGACACTCGATCCCGGTGTGGGCTCCGGGTGATTTCGGGGCCCTTCCCCGCCTGCCTACCTGGCCTTCCTGCCCCGCGATGGCGTCGTGGCGGCACCATGAGCGGACCCGGCCAGGCCCCGCAGCCGCCCAGCGCGCCACGGCCGCGGCCTTGGACTCACAGAGCCGTCACGGCGCTCCACATCGCGCCGTGCTGGATGCCCAGCTCCTGAAGCTGCCCTCACGATGAGGCCACCGAAGCCACCAACTCCTCTCGGCCCAGGGGGGCGGGGAGCGGGCAAGGGGAAGTGACAGCACAGACAGCGATGGCCGCAGAGGCCCGCAGCTTGGCCCCCGCCCGGCACCGCCCCCGCCCTCCAGACCCGCCCCCAGCTCGACGGCGGCGGCGCGTGGGTTACGTCATGGCGGTGCGACGCGGACCACGCTGGGGCGCGAATCCGGCTCAGTTTGGCTCAAGCGGGTGAAGGTGCTCCGGGCGCTCGGCACTGAGCAAGTAGACACGCGGGAACGTGGGGGAGTAATGGAGATGGGGAAATAGAGTGTGATGGAGGAAGAAGAGGGAAGCGAGCGTAGGTGTCTGCAGCAGAGCGAGGGCCGAGCGGTGGCGAAACCGCCAGATGTACTGTCCTAATACGAAAGCTAGCAGCTCCATTTCTTAACAAAGTTCGGATGTGAAACTTCCCATATCCCTTTCTGGAGGAGACGAGAGGAAAGCAGAGTATTCTGAAGTACTTTTGACTCTTGGAACCTTTTGTAAATAGACTAAATCCCTGTTCTTGGGATTCAAGCTGTGTCCTAGGGTGGACTGAAGTCACTGTCCCGGCCCTAAAACGTCTTCAGTATCCTTATCCAAAAATGAAGGTGAGATAGTATCTGCCGCTTTTGGTTTCTTGTGTGTATGGAAGGATTACGTGAGTTTACAAATGTGGAGGGCTTAGATCAATTCAAGGCATGTAATTAGAACTCCACAATTATTAAACTATATTCCATGAGAAAGAGGGCTGGGCATCCTGATTTGTATTTAGAAAACAAAAACGAAACTAAAGTGTTAAGTAATTTTACTGGAGTTTTCTACCATAAGTGCATTTTTAGACTCTTAGTTGGTGTGAAAAGATTAAATGTTCTTCTGTAGTTAACTTGCAGCGCTTACCTTTTAAGTCTTATTTCTCTGGAACTGAATGCATATTCTAATGACTAGTAAAATAATACCAGTGAACATTTTTAATTGCTCAAATCAGTGTCTAATAATCTATCAGCGTGAAGCACATCTGATCATTCAGAACTCTGTTGTATAATGTAGAAAAACATTTATCATCCACTTGACATTACTAGTTAGGGGACCTTTGGTTGCAGACATTAATCAATTTACTCCATAACCAGTTTATTCTTTTATTAATACTTTTTAGGGTGTCAAACTCATAATGTGCTTAAGAATCTTAGTTAATTAAATTAACTAAGTGCATTTTAGGAGATTTGATTTGTTAATTAAATTAACTAATTTTAGTTAATAAAAGAATACTTTTTAAGGTGTCAAACTCATAATGTGCTTAAGAATTTTTTATGGTACATAATATACTGTGAAAAAATAATAGCATTATAAATATCTCTCAAGATATAAAAATCAGCACATCTGGGTTCTAATTTTTACTCTGCCTAGAACTTGTTATGCATTGTTGAGGACTATTTCACTCTCTACTGTGTCCATATTCTATAAATACGAGTTTCTTAGAGATAGTACTTATAAATGTATGTAAACATAAGTTACCATTATTACCACCTGTTTCCAGAGTATCTGCCAAAGGTCAATACTGCAGATATTCTTGTGATGAAGTAATTGTGCAGATAAAGTAATTCTGGGGAGACTGTCTTCAAGTAGTCTCAAAACTAAGGTGACCAGACCTCGGGCTTTTGGCGGGACAGTCCCGATTTTTAACAATTTGTCGGGCATCGCGCAGCATTTTAAAAAAGTCCTGAATACACAAGCTAGGGAAGGGCAGGACAAGGGTAAGGGAATATATGGTTTTCAGCTGCTGAAAAGGTTAATGTAAGTCCACTTGGGAATGAAGAGGTTAATGTAACTTCATTTGGAAATGAAAAGGCTAATGTAAACTTCCTACTTCCCTCCTGGGCAAGGTCCCCCCAGGTGGACAGGCACCCTACTCCTTTGAGCCACAGGTGCCACCCTACACATAATGTTTTTTAATGTATTATATTTATAGATTGTACTTATGTTGAAATTAAAATATATATATTACAATACTATTTTTGCCTTCTATGAAAATTTTTGTCGCTCCACATAGACCAAATTTTTAATTAAGAAACCACTGCCCCCCCCCCAACACTGGTGTAATGTTAAAATCTGGTCACCTTACTCAAAACCTAGTTTAAATCTTAAATTTTCCATTAAAATTTCTCAGGCATTCTGTTTTTTTTGTCTCTGTATTTATCTTGCCCAAAGCTAAATCCTGAGTAATTTCAAAGTCTTTCTTGGAAAACTTCTTTCTGATTGATCAACTTTTATGTCAATGTTACTAAGTCTTAGAAGCCTTTCTGTCGAATCTCAACTGTACATTTCCAAATATAAATTCCTCAAAACCAAGGATTTTGGTCTGTTTTGTTCTTACCTATTACCCTCAACATGTAGGATATTGCCTAGCACAGAGTTGGCAGTCAGTATTTGCTGAATGAATTTGAATATTCCAAGGTCTTTTGGTCTTTTCCAGACACCTATTTCCTTCCCCAAGTCTCCTTTTCTGTCAGTTGGTAGCACTATTTTTCTAGTCTCACAGACTTGATCGTTTTCTAATTTCCCTTATACTTTTCCAAGTCGATCACTCTTGAAATCTTTCAATAGTAGACCCATAAGATGCATCAGGTATTAATTCTGACACCTTCAAACAAATCTCCCAAAATACACTGTAGAGAATATAATTTCTCCATCAAAGTACATGTGCCTCAGTATAGATATAGAGATGGTGTTGTACGGGACAATCACTGTCACTAGCTAACTCTCCCATCTGCTAGTCTCAAAGACTACTTTCAAAATTCAAGCCCTGGTAAAATTACAAATGTCATAGGTCTTTGGAGTCTCTAATAATTGAAACCACGTATAATAATTCGGCAAATTCCAAGGATGGAAATAAATGAAGAACACTCAAATAAGAACAAGAAAAGTTTATTTATACAAAGCTTGTTATAGCAAGGCAGTCAGCCACCATCACTTGTGTTAGAGACTCGACAGGAGATAGGAAATGTAAATGCTGTATAGTGGAAAAAAAGAAAAGACTTTACATATGTGCTGGTTGATGTTGCTGACATGGAGAGAAGTTGCAGGCATGGTAACTAGAAGCAAAGCATTCTATGTAGTTGACTTGGAGTACATATTTGGCTTTCTTTGGTTGATCCTAAATCAGAAATGGGACAAAAACTAAGGAAACTATCAGTTATTGACCATGGCCTGGCCATTTAGAGTTGATTGCAACAGGGATCCTGGTGGCCGTTCTGGACTAGTTGCTACAGAGGTTGTAGAGCAGAGTTCTGTTTTTATATATGCTCTGGCTGAGAGAGGATACCTGGAGAAAGTAAGGTCTAAGAGAACAGAGGTCTTCTCCAGAAGACCCCAAGGATACACTTGTGAGGGCTTCCCCATGGTGACTCAGCACTTAGGAATTTGTAGAAACTTAACTTCCTGGGACCTGGAAACTAAGACTTGCTTCGGTTTTTGTAAAAGCCGGAGCCAGCTTCTCCAGCTTGATTCAAAATGACCAGTAAGAAAGGTACCCGTAGGCCGCAACTTTCTGATTGGGGATTAAAAAGGAGAAGACTGAGCCAGTTGGGAGCAGGGCCATTTTGGATTCTGTGCCTTTGCTCTGCCACTGAAATAAGCCTCTTCTTCTTTAAACACAGTGTTTGGGTGTTCATTCTCTCCACTGGGCCTCGTCTTCCTGCAACATGGCCATTACCCATTAGTATATTCAGACTCTCATAAGAGTCTACCATGTATCATATTCTTTGCAGTACATACATGGGCACAGCTTGATAAATATTTGTTGATTTGATTTGCTTCTAAGACATTGTTAAATGGATTGAAGTTCACAGTTTTCTTAATTTCAGAATATTACAAGTATACAAATGTTTTGGTTACATGAATTGCTTTGGTACAGTTTGAGTCAAATTGTTAAGTGTGCCCCTCACCCAGGTGCGTGTGCATTGTACCCACTTGGTGTGAATTTACCCCCCTCTTCCTGTCCCCTCCACCCTGTTGGTTTCCATCTGCTTTTTCTACCAATCATGCACATGGGTGTTAATCAATTAGTTCCAGTTTAATAGTACATGTGGTGTTTATTTTTCATTCTTGGAAAACTTCACTTAGAAAAATAGTCTACAGTTACATCTAGGTTGTTCCAGAAGATACTATTTTTTATGGCTGAGTAGTACTCCATGGTATGCATAACCACACTAATTCACTCATGTATTGGTGGGCACTTGAGTTGGTTCCACATCTTTGTAATTGTGAATTGTGCTGTCATAAACATTCAAGTGCACGTTCTCTTTTTGATAAAATGACCTTTCCCTCTTTGGGTAAATACCTAATAGTGGGACCATAAAAGTGTCTCCATATGACTTTCCATAGAGGTTATACTACTTTGCAATCCCACCAACAGTGCATAAATGTTCCTTTCTCTGCATCCACCCCAGCATCTGTTGTTTGGGGATTTTTTTGATAAAATCCAATCTTACTGGAGTTAGGTTATACCTCACTGTTGTTTTCATTTGCATTTCTCTGATGATTAGAGACATTGAAAATTTTTTTGCATGTTTTTTGCCCATTAGTCTGTCTTCTTTTGAAAAGCTGCTCTTGATGTCTTTTGCCCACATTTTTTTTTTTTTTTTTTGAGACAGAGCCTCAAGCTGTCCCCCTGGGTAGAGTACCGTGGCATTACAGCTCACAGCAACCTCCAACTCCTGGGCTCAAGCGAGTCTCCTGCCTCTGCCTCCCAAGTAGTTGGGACCACAGGCGCCCGCCACAACGCCCGGCTATTTTTTGGTTGCAGCCGTCATTGTTGTTTGGCGGGTCCGGGCTGGGGATTCGAACCCGCCACCTTAGGTGTACGTGGCTGGCGCCTTAGCCGGTTGAGCTATAGGCGCCGAGCCTTTTGCCCACATTTTAATGGGGTTGTTTGATTTTGTTCTTGATGTGCTTGAGTTCTTTATAGATTCTGTTTATCAGCCATTTATTGGAGGTACAGCATGCAAAGACTTTCTCCTATTCTGTAGATTGTCTATTCATTGTATTGATTGTTTCATTGGCTGTGCAGAAGCCTTTTAATTTAATCAGATCCTATTTGTTAATTTTTGTTCTTGCTGTTATTGCTTTTGGAATCTTCTTTATGAATTCTTTGCCTAGGCTGATGTCTACCAAAGTTTTTCAGATATTTTCTTCTAGAATTC